AAGTAAGTAGTAGTAGTACTCTACTCTCTCTCTCTCTCGTATTATTATTACTACTACCTACTATATATATATATATATATATATATATATATATATATATGATAATTTGGTTAAATTCAGCTTATTGCTTTTGGGCAGGTTGTTCTGATTGCTCACCTTAATGCTTGTTGCATTTTACCAACCCTTGAAGCCAATTTTTTATTCTTTTAGATTATTCTTTTGGTTATCTATCAGATAGTAAAATGTCTACCTGCCTTTGATTACAGTGCACTGCAGAAGCAATGGGACTCCATTTCCCAATGGATTTAATCATTCTAATTTCCCCGTGGCTTATGAGCATCCACCATATTTATTGAAAAATGGTTTCGAGCTCCCTTCATTTCCATTGCCTGATCAGACGCAAAATGAAATATGGTTCAGAGAGAGAGCTGGCTATGGAATCCGAGTCCCTGAAACAAATTCTGGTCTAAATAAGCCCCCCTGTGCAGGAGCTGTATCTTCTTTCCCATCATTACCAGGTTCTGTGACACTTAAATTTCAACCTGTTGATCCCAATAGTGGGTCTTCCTCAACATTTAACAACTTGAATCATGTCCCATTTTTGAGTCCATATAAAGGTTCTGAGATATCCAAAAGTTCTGAATATACAGAGGAGAGGTGGCATCCAAATAGTAGTTCAGGGGTCTGCCAGAGCTCCAATTGTAAATCTTCCAACCAGAAAGGACATGCCCATGTATTGGAGTTTGACCTCAATGCATCCTCGTCTGAAGCCAATTTGTTCCTTTCTGAGAAGCCAAATGTTTCTAATGGTGAATGCGAGGCCTACAAGAGTCACGAAGACAAGGGCCCCAAAAAACGTTTTAAGGGCTTTGACTTAACGCTGATGCCTTCTGATGATTCTGAAGGGGAAACTGGACTCCAATCAGATAATGGAGAGAGAAAGCCTGATAGAGAGAGAAAGCAATTAGATACAACTGGGTCAAGCACTATAGAAACTCATTTGGTATTTAAGAATGCAACGGTTCCATCGGTTATTACCCAAGATTCAGAAATGGGTGATCTTTCCAACACCCTATTGGATATCTTGCCATCTGATTCTGTTCCAGCAAACTGCAAGAACATTAATGTTAAGGAACATGAAATTGTTGAGATTATACCAAGAGGTGTTTCAATTTGTTGCGTGGTTCCTCATTTTGAAGAGAAGTCTTTGGTGAATGTGAGAGAAAGAGGTACAGGTCTAGTGAGAGAAGGGAAGCTCTATGAAGGTTTATATGAGAAAAAAACTCCTCGAAAAAATGAAGGAATGTTAGCAGATGAGGGAGGGGGAGCTGGAAAAAATCATATAGCCGCATGTATTAATGAGAGAGAATCAGGTCTCAGTGAGGGAGAACTGGGCCTTGCAAATCACGAGGCACAAGAAGAAATAGTCTCCAAAGAAGGGAGCATCATGTCAGTGGCTGAAGCTCTCATCCTCTTGTCAGTGGACCAACACCAACCAGATTGTGGCACCGGTCATGAGCCTACACCTGCCACTTGGCAGCCCCTCGATTGCCTTGCTGAGGCTGCCTGTGAATCGCAGCTGCCAGATGAGGCAGTGGCCGCAAGGTGCGAGAGTGAAGAAAATGGCATTGATTTCTTTGAGTCCATGACGCTCATGCTTACTGAGACAAACTTCGAGGAAGAAGATTGGTTCAAATATAAAAGGGTAGAGGCTGAGGCAGGCCCTGGCCCGGGCTCTAATGGACCTGAGATGGGTTCATCAGGGCCCACGAGAGGAAGGCGGAGGCGACGTCGAGATTTTCAAAGAGAGATATTACCCGGCTTGGCATCGCTGGCTAGGCATGAGGTCACAGAGGACATGCAAATAATTGGTGGGCTTATTCGGGCCTCGGGTTGCTCATGGCCCATGGGCCCAGCGAGAAGGGGCACACGTGCTCGCCGCACAAGTTGCACTTTTCCCATTAATGATGCGGGCTTGGCCCTTGTTGGCACCATGGGCCTTGGAGGTGGACCTAGGGATAAGGTGGACCTTGGAGGCGAGCTGGAGAGTGAGGTGGGGCAATTGCAGGGGATTTCGTGGGGAAAGACGACGAGGAGGAGGCGTAGAGTGCAGAGATTTTCGGGGACGGTTTTGGCCCCGAGCCTTTCCTTTAAGGCAAGTGAGAATATGTGCTGAGAGAGAGAGAGAGAGAGGGAGCTCATGGGGCCTGGTGGTTTTTTAGTGTTATAGATGATGCCTTTGTAAATGTCAATGTGCGGGCCCAAATGGGTGTCCGACTATCTGTGAGTTAACAATTTGTATAATTAATTCCATAATAATGGTGATTATTGTTTTGTGTGAGTATGTAGTGTGACTGATTTCCTCTTCCTTAGTTTCTATTTTACAATTCATGTTATTCATCCTTTTCTGGTTTATGTCCATACATTTTACCCGTTTTCTTTGGCATTTCATAATTCACTCTCTATTTGCATCTTTTTCAAAAAACTTGGAAGCTTAGGAACCACGAGAGAAGGGATTTTTAATGTTTTATGGTTGAAAGAACTTTAAATTGGATAAACAAATCACGAGCTTGTATAAACTACTGCCGACCAAAAATGGAAGAATACACAACTTGGGTGATGAAGAATATCAATGCTTCTCACTAGTGTTTTAAAAAACGTCGAGTCGAACCGGACTCGACTGGTTCGACTCAGGAATCGGCACAGTCCGTGTCGGTTTTGGTATTTTACACAGAATTACCCGATTCTAGAGAGACCAGGCGATTCTGTATAGTGCATCGCCGATTCACTGTATAGAATCGGCGAGTCTCATGAAGAACACGGGCTGCACAGTATTCTTCACGGGTTTCTTTAAATTTTATCTTTTTTTTATCATTTTTCTTCTTCTTTTTGTCATGTGATCGAATATTTAGGCGTTATGCAGCTCTTTTTAGCCTTTTCATGCATTAAATGGTTGAAAAATTGCAATTTTTTGGTTCATGAAGTTGTGGGTTTTAGGGTTTCCGCTTTTCGTTTTGTTTCATTCCAAATAGGGCATGAATTTGTGAAAAGTTTGAGACATATTGATCGTAAATGTGTTCATTAGAAATTTCTATTACGCATTTGTGATTATCTTTGAGAAAAACATATTAATTTGGAGATTGAAGCCACGGGTTCACGAAACCAGGTAAGAACTCTGTGTTTTTTTTTTTCCGCCATTTGATCAATTTCAGTCCATACTCTGAAAATAATCAGTTAAATTTGTAGGGTTTTAATCTTTATCATGTATTTTATCATTTACCATATTCAATTTTATTAAATTTACTCAATTGCAGCCTGAGTTTTTAGAATAACACAGTGATGTCTGTGAAAAAAAAAATTTGCCTTTTTTTTTTTTTGCCTTTCGATCTATTGTTCACGATATATTACAAATAATGTTTAGATTTCTAGGGTTTTGAATCGTTATAGTCCTGTTTATAATCAGATGTATTCAATTTGATTTGATTTATTCAATTTGAGCTTCATATTTTAGATTCAATAACTGTTGTCTGTGAAGAACTGCGTTTTTTTTTTTTGCTCAATTTAATCGATTTGATTTGATTTATTAATGGTAATGTGTTCATAATTTAGGGTTTTGATTCTTTATAGTGTTGTTTATCAAAACATGTACTCAATTGGATGTAATTTATTCGTTTGGAGGTGGATTTTTGAGTTGAAATGGCTGATGTAAGGTGGCGCTGTGAAGAACAGAATTTTTTTTTTTTGTCGCAATCCATGATCGAATTTTTTGAAAATTTGTGATTTTCCGAAAAGATGTGAAAATCGTGATAAGGTTTTGATTATCATGAGGTATTAAGCCATATTTTTAATTTTTATTGTTTGAGTTTGCTGTACTTTTCTTTTTATTTATTTTTATCCATGATTAAATTTTTGAAAAGTGATGATTTTCCTAAAAGATGTGAAAATCGTGACCAGGTTTTGATTATCATGAGGTACTAAACCATATTTTTCACTTTTTATTGTTTTAGTTTGCTGTAATTATTTTTTTTTTTTATCCATGATTGAATTTTTTGAAAAAGGATGATTTTCCTAAAAGATGTGAAAATCGTGACCAGGATTTGATTATCATAAGGTATTAAACCATATTTTTAATTTTTATTGTTAAAGTTTTTGTTGAAAAATTGTATGTTGATAGATTATTTATGCAAAAAAATACATGTTATTATATTTTTAATGCAAAACTATATCTTTTTAATTTGTTGTTAATGCATTTTTTAGTTGGAATGACTGATGTTAGGTGGCTCTGTGAAGAATTATTTTTTTTTGTTTTTTATTTAATACATGATCGATTTTTCTTGAAAAATCGTGAATTTCCAAAAAGATGTGAAAATAGCGACGAGGTTTTGATTATGATGAGGTATTAAACCATATTTTTAATTTTTATTATTAAATTTTTTGTTGAAAAACTTGTATGTTGATAGATTATTTATACAAAAAAATGCATGTTATTATATTTTTAATGCAAAACTGTATTTTTTTAATTTGTTGTTAATGCATTTTTGAGTTGGAATGAATGATGTTAGGTGGCTCTATGAAGAATTGTTTTTTTTTGTTTTTTGTTTTAATTATAATGAGGTATTAAACCATAGTTTTAATTTTTATTGTTAAAGTTTTTGTTGAAAAAATTACATGTTGATAGAATATTGATGCTTCGGGGATTTTGGATTGGAAACACAACAAAACACTAATACTCAGGGATTTGGCTATAGTCAGACGCCTGCTAATATCGATGATTCGTTTTTAGATCGAATCAATGAATTGTCAAACGAATTCAATCAATGGCACCAACGTGACCAAGAAGAAGAACAACGTCGTCTGTCATTTTATTTTTAGATCATATGTTACTAATTGTATGTTTTATTATAGTCCATGTATGTTGATATATTTATTCCATAATAATTCTATATTTATCCTATTGTGTGATGTAAATTAAATGGTAAATAGTAATTCACGCAGAGAAAGAACATATTAATATTCGCATATTCATACAAAGAAATGAAAATTCTTAATAGAGTACCCTCATTTTTTATTGAATTTCTAAAAAGCAATATTTATAATGAATTTTAATAATTTTTTAGAATTTTTTTGAAACTTTAATATGACCGATACGGCCGATTTTCGATCCAGATCGCCGATTCATCGATCTGGATCAATTTTTGA